AGCCTCCCTCCCTTTCCCTGGCTGGCCCCGCCCCCTGATCGAACTCTAGGATGAACTCCTGGTTGAGGGGACAATTTGCATACTACACTTTTATTATATAGGATGATTTCCAAAGGGATGGGATATCTGATTGGATAGCCTGTCACAGGAAAGTAGGCTGTATTTGATAGCTCCACCAAATCACATGGAGTGAGGGTGGGGCAGTTTCCAATTTAAAAAAATAAATGCTAGGCAGATAAAACAAAAACAAAAACGCGTTTACTACAAAGGAATACCTTAGGATAATGACCCGTGTTGTCATACCACCTATGTTTATACATCCTTTCAGCTAGTGAAAACCAGGAACTTGCTGCTCATCTTCAGCCCTCATTCCTGCGGACTATTGCCAAGCAGCGATATTCTGGAAGATTTGACTAGTGACCAGGCTCCTGTGGTCTTTCCTGTGTGGCTCTGTGGTGTCCGCTTGTTTGAATTTGCAGCTCACGTCAATCTTAATATTTGTTTTGAGTCACATATGCTGGCCTCTAATTTGCAATTTACATGGATGATGGGACCCTATTCAGAGTCCTGCTCCTGTGTCTTTGTGCCGTTCACCTCTCTTCACTCCATCATTAGGCTGAACAGCATATAATTAGGTAACTCATGTACAGCTTAGATTTCTGAAAGGTTGAAGCTCTTTTCAAAAAGTAAGGGTTTCCATTTTACTCTCATTCTTTTCTAAACAAAAAGACATTCCCTCCCTATGGTTTTGCTATGAATGTAGTAACATGAAAACAGCTAGCCTTTGTAGGTAAGTAATGATTTTGGCTTCTTTTCACCTGAGAGTTGGTTTTTGTTTACACAGCTTGTGTTTAACTCAGTGCAGGCTGAGGTGATTGGCTATCATTTGTGGGTGAGTGCGGTGCTTTTTGAAACCAATAAAATTGGATTATTTTAAATCCCTAAAGATTTAAAGCCCATCCAACAAAATAACTCAATTTTCAGCTTATTTTTTTATGTTTCTTTTGGTACCTGTATGCACAAAACCTACCTGAAATTACTTGTTAAGGTAATCCTATGAAAATGGGAATACTGAAGAAAACAGATTCTTGCTGAAATTATGCTAATTGTATTTAAGCTATTCACTTGTCAGACAAGTTCATGAGTATAAACATAGTTGAAAAACTAGTCTTGATGGTGAGGCACACACACAAGGTCTTAAAAATATAAATAGTGCCCTAGCTGGTTTGGCTCAGTGGATAGAGCATTGGCCTGCAGGCTGAAGGGTCCCAAGTTTGATTCCAGTCAAGGGCACATGTTGGGGTTGTGGGCTCCATTCCCAGTAGAGAGCATGCAGGAAGCACCCAATCAATGATTCTCTCTCATCATTGATGTTTCTATCTCTCCCTCTCTCTTCCTCTCTGAAATCAATAAATATATATTTAAAAAATGTAAATAGAAATGTATCTAAATGTTTCATTGAAATAAAATAATATAATGCATAGGGAGCCTATCTACTGACCTCTTCATACATGATCATTTTGTATACTTGATATTATTTTTGAAAGAAGGAATGTAGCAATGTTTTTTTTTAACCCTGCAAGGTTGAAAAGAAAAGATACATGGAATTATCTAGAATACTCATTCATAGTAGTTAACCAGGAAATTCATGTAAATGCAAATTCTTTGGCCCTGTTTATTGAAATTCCGTTACAAAGTTGGGAATGGACCTCAGAAATCTAAATTTGAAATAAGTACCACAGATGATGCTATTGCAAGAGGTTTGCAGGCAATATTATAAGTGTGTTGTGAACAATGCAGTTGATAGTGCATTTGTATAGATGTTTAGCTGTATACTTTCAAACCTCGGTTCTTAAAAGTCTCCCATCTCAAACAATTCGGTTCTCCACCAAGTTGTTCACAGAAAAAAATATCTCCATTATGGAACAAAACTTTAGTTCTCTACTTAACAACCCTTTTATACTGATACATCAGCATGACAAAAAGTCTCTCAGGCCACAAAGAAAGGAGAGAATGCAACTTGGTTTACCATTAAACTTCATGTTGTTAACATCTCAGGAAATTGTGCTGTGAATATTTGTGTGTGTGTGTGTGAGTGTGCGTGTGTGTGTATGTTTTGTTGTTTTTTGTTTGTTTGTTTTTGCTTTTGTTGCTGGTGAAATGGATGATTAGCACAGTTGTAAATCATGAAGAGGCCATCAAGGGTGCTAATGTTGCTAAGGTGTGAAAGACACAATGATCACAGGCAATTGAAGAGGTAGAAAAACTGTTGTTGATTTGGATAGAAGAACAGCAGTTAGCCAGTGACAACATTTTGGAGGCAGTGATATTTGAAAAAGTGAAGATATTGCATACTGACTTCCCGAAAGATACCCCTGGGACAAGTGCTGAAAGTGATTTGTGAAAGGCTACTAGGGGGTGGTTCAATAAATTTAAGAAAAGATGTGTTTGTTTATAGATTAAGCAGTACATTAGACATGTATATAAGAAAGGTTAAAACAGGGAATCATCTGCAGGTCTGGAATGGATTCACATTATTTCTAATTGGAAATAATTATTTCCAATTTACATTATTTCTAATGGGAAACAATGATTCAGTTTTCAAACAAATCACTTCTTGAACAGCCTCTGGAATGAATTAAATTCAAGAGTTGAGGTTCCACTGTACTTCCGTGTTCCACCTAGATCTGTGCCTTTAAAAAATATACATGAATTTCTGAAACCATTACCATGACCTCTGCATTATAACTTTAGTAGAATATATAATTATACGAGGGGCCCAGTGCACAAATGAGTGCACCTTGAAAGGAACTGTGGGCTGGGAGGGTGCTGTGAGCACAGGGGTGAGTCTCAGCCCATCCTCAGTGCCCCTGCCCGGCTTCTCCCGCTGTGGCCCCAGGTCCCCTGTCTGCTGGCAGCCCCGCTCCCGCTACTCCCACATGCTGATGATGCCAGCCCTGCTTGCACCTGCTGATGGCATGTAGCGATTGGGGCTGGCGCCAGCAGCGGGTACAAGCAGGGCCTGCTTCGTCAGTGGATGTGAGTGGTGGCTGCTGTCCTAATTGCCCCTCAGGAGCAGGGGGAGGTGGAGAAGCAAGCCCTCAAGGGTGATCGGGGCTAGCAGCCACTGCTCACACCGACTTACAGAGCCAAGCAATTGGGACTGTTGCCGGATGCCGGCAGTGGGTATGAGCAAAGCCGGGACCAGCAGTGGGTGCAAGTGGCAGCTGCCAGCCCCGATTGTCCCTCAGGAGCAGGGGGAGGTGGAGAAGCCCTGGTGGATGATTGGGGCCAGCAGCCGCTGCTCGCATCTGCTGACGGCACTGAGTGATTGGGGCCAGCAGCAGTTGTGAGCGGTGGCTCTGGTGCCAGCAGTGGGTGTGAGTGGGGCTTGTGCTGGCAGCAGGTACTAGCGCCGGGTGGGACTGTGGCAAGCGGGAGCAGAGAATTTCCAGTAACCACCAGAGGCTCGCCCCAGTGACAGCAACCAGTGCCCCGCCTTGGTTTGGCGCCCCTACTCACCTGCTCCACCATCCCGCCACGGCCCATGCCCTCCATGTTCCGTGCGTGCCCCCTGGTGGTCAGTGCACATCATAGCGACCGGTCGTTCGGCTGTTCAGTTGTTCTGCCATTCGGTCTATTTGCATATTAGGGATATATATATATATATCTCCTACATAATAAAAGTCTAATATGCAAATTGGCCAAACGGTGGAACGACTGGATGATATGATGCACACTGACCACCTGGGGGCAGAATCTCAATTTAGGAGCTTCCCCCTGGTGGTCAGTGTGCTCCCACAGGGGGAGCACTGCTCACCCAGAAACCAGCCTCACAGCTGGTGAGCACAGCGGTGGTGGTGGGAGCCTCTCTCGCCTCCTTGGCAGCGCTAAGGATGTCCGACTGCTGACTTCTCCCAAGGGCTCCTGGACTGCAAGAGGGTGCAGGCTGGGCTGAGGGGAACCCCCCCCTTCCCAGTGCATGAAATTCGTGCACTGGGCCTCTAGGATATAGATATAGATAGATATAGATATAGATATAGATATAGATATAGATATAGATATAGATATAGATATAGATATAGATATATTAGACAAGTTGACCAGGCCTTGGTGATATTGCCAAGTAGAACTGCATCTGGAGGATAGCTAAGTGTTCTTTCAAATCATGACTGGTCTCAGGAAATAGAGAAGGGGACATATTGGTGAAGTGTTGACCATTGGACATTATACTGGTTCACTTCGGGTCTATTCTTACTTGTCAGTCCAGTTAATCTAAATGACCACTGCTATCTAGAGTACCTTTGGCAAAATTTATGCATATTTTTCTTTTAAAATCTCTGTTTTCCACATTTTAGTTTGTGCTGAATGTGCATTTGGAGGATGAATATTCCTGAATGTAATTGCTTTTATTTGGGGATGATCAAGTCATTGCAATGTTACTTAATAGGTAATAAAACTATCGGTGCCCAACACTAGGATTTCCAGATGTGGGCATTTGAATAGTCTAGTCAGAGAATGGAGAGAAAGGTATGGTTGGCAGGGTGAAAGTTAGAAAGTTACAGAGCTTCACACACCCTGCCCCCACAGAAGTGATTTTCTATATTCATGCACTGGGCTTATCCTGCATCCACTGGCGCAGAGACTGTATGAGGGGCAAGTGAAAGCCTTGATGAAGATGTTATTTATGTGAATATCAGTATGCACACTTAGACACAATGGCATGCATATGAGGGGAACGTATATGAAATCCTATAAGAATAGTTTTGTGCCAAGGTCTTGGGCTCATATTTTTTATGTTGTATAAATTTGATTCATATGTAATAATGATAGTGAGGTATAGGTATAGTAAAAAGAGAATATATCTATCCAAATAAATTTTGCATTAAATGTCAGTTGGCTTTCTAAGGTGATTGTAACAAGGGTAAATCATGTTGTGGCATTAGGCTATGTGAAATTAGTAATTTATTTTTTAAAATCAAAACTGTCTCTTTGATCAGATTTCTTATAGAAAAGATATGCAGGGCACCCACATGTATAATGCAGAGCTCAACAGACCAGACATCAAGATGGCAACGCAGATCTCCAAGATCGTAAGCAATGTAATTGCTCTTTCTTATCTTGAGCGGAAATGATTTCTTATTTTTTGCAGGAACAAAGCATGGCTTTGGCAGTTTCATGGTTAATTTAATGAGTGAAATTAATCATCTCAATTTTTGAATCTGAATTATCCATTTAATCCTGTAAATAATTTGGGTATATGCAGAAGCTGCTAAAACACAACTTTTGACTATGACTAGTATTACCATACTTTTTGATCAATATATAGATATATAGTATTCAGGTATAAGACAGCATTCAAATGTTCCAGTTTGAAAGTCAAGTTGTTAGTAATCTGGTCCCATATTATCTCTTACCCCATCTTGTCCAAAAGAACTTCAGTTGCCTTGTTCTTATCTTGTTGCTGTTCATTTGTAGATTCTGTTCTGCCAACATTTATCCTTGCATGTTTCCTACACCACAGAGCTATTTCTTATGTTCTCTAAGACATCCTCCTTGATTAATATATTTTTGAACATTCCTAATACCTGGTTTAAAATGATGTCTTAACTTGAACCAAATACTTAAGTAATAGGCTTTACACACCTTAAAAATTAATAATCAATAATTATTTTCTAACTTCAACTGCATGTTAATCAAATAGGGTTAAATCAGTTCCTGAGACTAAACAAAGCCATAAAAGCTATCTGTATGTAGAAGACAGAGTCTCAATTACTCAGAAATTTCTTATTTTTTCAGTTTATAGATGCAATGATGATGATGATTGGATACATGGCTCAAAATGAGTAATTATTTTACTACAGAAATGTTGACTTTATTTAGATACCCATATTATAAAATCAATTTCTTCTTTAGCATTCAGTATTTTAGAGTTTGATGAGCTGTAAGGAATATCTTTATGGACTGAGGGTCTTTTATCTATCATCTATCTATCTATCTATCTATCTATCTATCTATTTGTGGCTAGTGTCAATGTAATTCTTCATTGGAAAGTAGAAATATTTAACATTCTCTCATTTATTCATTTTAGGCAGAATACAAGAAAGGCCAAGGAGTAATGAATAAAGAGCCTGCTGTAATTGGAAGACTAGATTTTGAACATGCTGTTGAAGCTTCTAAACTTTCTAGTCAAGTAAGACTGTACTCATGATTTCACAATGCTTTTATTCAGAGATTGTGTTTCTAGCAGCACAGGAAAATATTTCATATTAGATAATATCTTTACTTTCAAGAATATGCAAAGATAATGTTTCTGAAACTATTTCAGATAGGATTACAATAATTATAAATTTCAGTATGAAAAAAATAAGTCCATTTTAAGCATGAAACAAAGTTTTCTTTTCTCTCAGCTCAAATTCTAACCTTTTTTGATGAGTTTAGCCATATTGTCATATTTCTCAGGATTTCTACAGTTTAGCAGTAGTCATACCAAAAAATGAAATTTCTATTTATCTATCTACACACTCACTCTTCAGCTGAGTAATAAAGCATTAGTTCCTTCATCTTTAAATGCTTTAGTTTAATCATGAACTAAACAAGAGTGATGGAAATGAAGAAAACTTTGAAATCTTACTGAACATAAAACAAAATCAGAAAAAGTGTAAAGACATGGCATGTTTTTGGTTGAAATTCTCAATAGATAAAAATTTCAATTCTTCCCAAATTAATATATGTATGTGTGTATGTGTGCGTGCGTGTGTGTGTGTGTGTGTACACATACATACATACACCTACATGTCATGCAATTTTTATTATATTGCAACAGGTTTGAAGAAATATGGATAAAATGATCTTAGAGTTTGAATGAAAAGGAAATGCCTGAAAATAGCTCTTAAAAGTATGAAAATGAAGACCAGTGAGGGAGAACTTAAGTTATAAGTTACCATAGCATAATATAAAACCACTGAAATTAAATCAATATGGGATTGGTATAGTAAGAGATAAATAATTAGTAGGATGAAAAGCGAATCCTGAAATAGACTCCAATATGTATTAAAACTTAATATATGATAAAAGTGTTGGTTCAAGTCAGTGGGAAAAAGTTGGATTAGTTAATAAATGGTGCTGACATAACTGGTCATCCATCAGAGTAAAAATAAAATTGGACCTGAACCTTAAACCATATAAAAAATGAATTCCAGATGGATTAACTATGTGAATGTAAACAATAAAATAACTTTAAAATCTTAAAAAGAAAACCCAGGAGACCATACATATCAAATAGAGATAACAGAGTTGTTTTTAAATAAGACTAGAGATGGTGCGGGAGGTAGTGGGGTGTGGGCAGACTAGAAGAGGTCAATGGGGGGGAAAGGGGACATATGTAATTCAATAATATTTTAATAAATAAATAAAAAATAGATGTACTTGACTATAAAACAATTTAAAATTCTTTCAATGGAAAAAGATAACATTTTCAAAGTCAACAATATGATATCATACAGTAAGTTTTATATGCTTAAAGTGCTTTCAACTTTGAAAATATTCATTCTTCAAGTTTCAAATGTCCTAATTACATTTCACCATGAAGAGATGTAAATGAGGAAAACTATAACCGAAGAACAAAAAATGATAAGAGTTTATCATATGGAGAAGATAGTGTCTCAGAATTTTTGTAGTTGCTGTTATTAATCCTCACCCAAGGATATGTTTTCAGTCGATTTTTAGAAAGAGGAAGAGTGGAGGGGGCAAAAGGGAAGAGAGCAAAACATTGATGTGAGAGAGGCACATCCATTGGTTGCCTCCTGCAAGTGCCCTGACTCAGGCCGGGAACAGAACCTGCAACCCAAGTACATGCTCTAACCATCAGCCAGGGAGAGCTCTTAAATATAAAAAGAAGAGCAGTGGTCTTCAAATATTTGTAATGCGTATGATGGCAACATTTTAATATCTGGAATACACAAGTTCTTTCATTTTGAAAAAAAAAAAGGATTAGCCACTCCGTAGAAAAATGAGCAAAGGAGGTGAATAGGCAGGTCACAGGTGAGCAAATATAAATAGACAGTAAACATGAAAAAAATGTTCATATTTATTTGTAGATAGGGAAATGCAACAAAGTAAACACAAAATGGTTTTTAAACCATCTTGTTCTGTGTGTGGAAAGGACATCATTGAGGGTGGCGTACTTAGAAAGGTTTGTGTGGGAGGTAGGTTTGAGCTAAGTTGGACTTAGAAAGCTGTGCTCAGAGGAGGACCCCAAATAAAGTTTGGGAATGTGCATGACAGAGGAGAGAGGTCTGACACCAGAGGCAGATGACCTAGCAAGGAGATGCGGGTCATAAATACCACGGGAATTTGGGAGGAGTTGAGATGCTGTGTGATGATAAATGGGCAGTGTTTATTCATTTGGACTTCAGGCCATACTTACAGATTGGAGTAGGGATTTTGGAATGTAAAAAGGGGGAGCTTTTTATTTTTTTAATTTTTATTTTTTTATTGATTAAGTTATTACATATGTGTCCTTTTCCCCACGTTACCCTCTATCTCCCCCACTCATGCCCTCACCCCCCTGTTGTCCGTGTCCATTGGTTAGGCCTATATGCTTGCATGTAAGTCCTTTGGTTGATCTCTCCCCTTAGCCCACCCTCTCCTACCTTCCCTCTAAGGCCCGACAGTCCAATCAATGCCTTTCCGTCTCTGGATCTGTCCTTGTTCATCAGTTTATGTTGTTCATTATATTCCACAAATGAGTGAGATCATGTGGTATTTATCCTTCTCTGACTGGCGTATTTCACTTAGCATAATGCTCTCCAGTTCCATCCATGCTGTTGCAAATGGTAAGAACTCCTTCTTTTTTATTGCAGCGTAGTATTCCACTGTGTAGATGTACCACCGTTTTTTAATCCACTCATCTACTGATGGGCACTTAGGCTGTTTCCAGATCTTAGCTATGGTGAATTGTGCTGCTATGAACATAGGGTGCATATGTCCTTTCTAATTGGTGTTTCTGGTTTCTTGGGGTATATTCCTAGAAGTGGGATCACTGGGTCAAATGGGAGTTCCATTTTTAGTTTTTTGAGGAAACTCCATACTGTTCTCCACAGTGGCTGCACCAGTCTGCATTCCCACCAGCAGTGCACGAGGGTTCCTTTTTCTCTACATCCTCTCCAGCACTTGTCGTTTGTTGATTTGTTGGTGATAGCCATTCTGACAGGTGTGAGATGGTACCTCATTGTTGTTTTGATTTGCAACTCTCGGATGATTAGTGACTTAGAGCACATTTTCATATGTCTCTTGGCCTTCCTTCTTTCTTCTTTTGAAAAGTTTCTATTTAGGTCCGTTGCCCATTTTTTGATTGGGTTGTTTATCTTCCTTTTGTTTAGTTGTATGAGTTCCTTGTAAATGTTGGAGATTAAACCCTTATCAGTGATAACATTGGCAAATATGTTCTCCCATGCAGTGGGCATTCTTGTTGTTTCGTTGAGGGGGAGCTTTTTTTAATTTTTTATTTTATTTTATTTATTTTATTTTTTTATTTTATTTTATTTTATTATTTATTTTATTTATTTTATTTATTTTATTTTATTTTATTATTTTATTTATTTTATTTTATTTTATTTTATTATTTTATTTTATTTATTTTATTTTATTTTATTTTATTTTATTTTATTTTATTTTATTTTATTTTATTTTATTTTTTTTCAGTTGATCAGCAGCCTAGCCAGGTTCTGGGTTTTTTTCGTTTGTTTGTTTGTTTTTTCTAAATACTTTAATTTGGTTTCAAACATATGAAGGCAGTACACATGTGAGTGAGGAGGTTGCTCAGGTCCGTAGGGGAAAGGTTACAAAAGATACATACAAATATCCATCTCAAAAGCATGAGGGTCCTTATATCCTTTCTTAAAGAGCATAAAAAGCAAGCACATTCTATACAAATGAGAGTTGTGACAAAGAATTTCATAGTTCAAGAGCCTGTCACAGTATGAGGTATAATAATGGACAAGAAGTCTTACAAGCTTCTCTTGTCCAATACTCACTGAAGTCTCATTCGTTTTTCAGGGGGACCTTTAGTGCTCACTGTCTGTTGGATGTTCTTTGTGGTCTCCTTCTCATCAGACTTCACAGTTTCTGGTGTAGGTTCTGCCTCTTTCTTTGTCTGATCCACTGGGACAGGCTTTTCTCCAGACTTTTGCTGCACAAATTTGGGTGGAAATTTTTGTCTGAGGTCTAGGAGTAAAGCATCCACACGTTGCCCCTGGAAAATAGAGCTTGGTTCTTCTTTCCTTTTGGTTTTAGGTTTAACTTTTTCTTGCTCTTCATGATCTTTGAAGTGCCACCAATACCCTTTGGAAGGATGATATCGACAGTATGACATAGCTTCATCAAAAGCTGACTGAATGCCATGCACCGCAGTAAGCACTCTAGAGTTTATAACTGGTCCCAAGTCTGGTGCCTGGTAGATCACTCCAGCAATGATATAGTAATCAGCCAGTGGGATAACTTGGGTAGGGGACTGCCGCTGTTGCTTCCGGATGATAAAAAGAATGGGCTCTTGAGCATGTTAAAGGATGTATTCCACTCCAACCATCTGATTTAAGTGTTCTAATTTTAGTCTCTGCATTTTGACCACTTCATTATTACACGTTCTGTCGTAAAAAGGATTACTTCTTTCTGAAAAGTAATCTAGGACACTTCCACTGTTCAAAATGGGGATCCATGTACTGTCAACCCAAGAGATTCCCAATAGATTATCTCGGATATCCACTGCCGCCATAATTCCAAGTGTTCCCGGGTTCTCCTTCCGGTGCAGAGAAGACGTAACCACTATGACGACGGAAGCAGAGGGTTGCTGGTCCTCGGGACCATGAGGAAAAATGCAGAGGGGAGGACAGTGCAGGACCCACAAGAGGGCAGGGAAGGGGAGGAGGCCAGGAGTGCAGGGGAGCTCCAGGTTCTGTGTGTTTTTTTTTGTTTGTTTGTTTGTTTTTGTTTATAGCCATTTTTATTTTTTGTGCCTTGTTCCTTCTTCCCTTTTGTTTTTCTTCTTTTTTTTATAATTAAATCTTTATTGTTCAGATTATTACATTTGTTCCTCTTTTTTCCCCCCCCATAACTCCCCTCCTTCCAGTTCCCACCCCACCCTCTGCCTTCACTCCCCACCCACTGTCCTCATCCATAGGTGCACGATTTTTG